AGGATATTGACAGCACTGGCAAGAGGCTGGTGTTTATTTCTTGAATGAAATTACGCAACCTCTGCCCTTGCCATCAGTCCCTGCTAATTTATCTTTGGCACACACTTCAGAGAAGCTGCTGCTACGCAATGGAAATTTAGAAGATGTCTTGTACATAGATCTGTTTTCCCCCTCTAACCCAAGAAACTGATACAAAACAGGTCATTGAACACGAGTAATTCAACCATTCCTCCCCCTTGCACTGCTACCAAGTACATCAGAGTCGCTTGTGCTCCCCCAAGCCCGTCTCCATCCTCTAACAACAGCACAGCCCACTGTCTTCCTGCTGTCAGCCTGGGAAAGGACAACGTGTACAGATGGGCCAGTTGCTTTGAAGGGAAAAACAGAAATCAGAGACACTCTGTCAGCTTCTGCTTTGTTGGATATAAACTTGCTTTGCCATAAACACTGGAGAAATATTGGAACATAAAAAGCTTTGAAATAGGATTTAAAAAGAAATCTGTGCTTTATCTTCTGTTTGAGAAAGGAAAAAAAAAATAGTGTGAAGGACAGAGGGTAAGTCATACAAAAAAAGATAGAAACTGAAATGAAAAAAAAAGTGAAAACCCCAGAAAATTAGTCAAATGGAACAGGAAAGAGGCAGGCAAAAATTGCCAATTAACATTCACATCAAAGGAAAATTCTCATCAAAACCTTTTTCTTCTTGTAAGAAGCATCATGCATTTCCAGTATGTACTGCAGTGAAGTGAGCACGCTTTACACAAAAGAAGGCCCAAGAGAATAAGCCAAATAGCCTCAAAGCTTGTGAAAACCATTTTACACAGCTGACAACTAGGACAAAACCCCATAGGAGCCCTGAGTGTCAGCATCACTGCCCTTGTTCACCAGTCAACTTCCAGCCTGTGCCCACTCCAGGGGATCTGAAGCACAGACCCTACACGTGTTTCTGTCGATTCATTTACCCCATGCAGAGCCTCAGGCTGCCCAGGACGAACAACACTAAGTCCCACTGCTCCACAGAAACCCCATAAAGGCTCAAGTACTCAGCTGGACTGAGGCCATCTAAACCTGGAATGGGCAGGAACCTCGCAGTGCTCCAGGTGCAGCACCTCCCTGGTGTGCATTGGGTGGGTGGTCACATAGGACCCTGTGTGTTTGTGGGGCATTGGTCACCAGCACTACGTACGGGTGTGCACGTGTGCCCTCTGAGTGAGTCTGGGCCATGGCAGTGTCTTTATAGGGGCACCCCTTCTGTCTTGAAGCTGGTGAAGGACAGTGAAGATGAAGGGTGGGAAGAAAGGTTTAGGCTCTGTCAGCAGGTCCTGTGGCTCCTGTGGAAACTTTGGCTATGCTGCAGCTAAACCAGCTTTGCTTTCAGGCAGGCACAGTGCCCTGCTTGCTCCCACGCTGACAGGGGACACGTGCATCATGGGCATGAGCTTTTTGGGCAAGTAAGAACAACAACAACAATGAAAAAGAAAACATATTCAAATTATAGTGGCAGAGCAAGGCAGGACACAAACATACCAGCCCACAGCAAAACAAGAGCAGGTAAAGAGATTAAAACAGTAATGATTTCTTTGCTGTTCAGTTGTCTATGGAGCAAGCAACTAATAGCTGTGATTAATTAATTAAAACATCATTAAAACTTAAGTGAGCTCATGCTCAGTCACACAAGAGCATGACCATTTCAACCGGCAACTTAAATGGGACATTTGAAAACAGTAATCAGCTAATTTTTCCAGATTTTCTAAAACCTTAGATAAAGCAGAAGTCTTAATAGGTCAGAGCCTCTCTGGTACAGCCCATTCTCTAGCCTTCAAGGAAGAGAGGAAGAAGAAATGATAATTTGGATTCATGTAGTTCTAATTTTTTCTTAACTCTCTATTGGGCAAACGATTCACCTGGCTCTGCTAGAGCCTAAGTCACAGCTGCAAGTAACAGTCCCCATTTGCCACTGTATTTCCTGAAGAAGATGGGTGATATTTACAGCCACTTTCCCAGCCCCTTGCCTAGCTGTCTCACTACTGCTGAGACATGGACAGAGAAGCAGCAGAAGGCAACTACTCCAGCTGAGATTTTTGTAACAAATTACCTGTGGACGGTCATGTGGCCAACAACAGAGTGAGTCAGAGGAAATTACTGTTTATAGTTGACAGAATGCATGTGACACTGAGCATGTTTGAAAGCAAAGTCCCTGCCTTGAATAGCTTGGATTTAAATGAGGCAGCAGAGGAGGAGAGAGGGCAAGCAAAAGCAGGTCCTGCCAATTCATGTTACGGTGCCTGATAATAGGTCACCAAGCAGGAAAGAAAACTCTGGCTGCATTATCGACATCAGGCCTGCATCAGGTGTCAGTGACTTATTTCCTGGAGATGTCTCAAAACATAACCAAAGCCTATTTAGAAGGGAACCTAACTCCTGCTATGATGCAGATAGTCATGGAATAATATGCAGTAGAATGTCCTAATTGCTGAGAAGTTCAGCTAAATGAGCCCAAAAATGTCAAGTATTTCTGCAAAAGACTAGCAGATTGTACATATGGCAAGCACCATGCACAGCTGGCTTGGATGGGTGGAAATTCAGCATCCCTAAACTCGGGATATGACAAAGGAAAGAAGTATCCTTGAGTGCTTATTCATCAAATTGGAGCCTCTTGGGTAGGAAGCCTGCAAAGGTGAATAAACAGAAAATGTTACAAACCAGCAACCTAATCGAAAAGCTCCCATCAGAAGGGTGTGTGTGCATGTAGAAGTAGGGAGGAGAGGAAGAATTCTAATTAGGTCACAGGGACCAAAAGATAAAAACAGGACAATCTTATCTAATACCTGGGCTGTCACTACACAAATGCCAGGACAGAGGATGAACGACCAATTAAAAGAGTTTTTACACAGCTAATTATGATGACAGAGGGTTTGTGGAATAAAATCCCTAGATTAATATGTTAATAAAAGGCTAAAGAAAAATTTAAGGGGTAAGCACTGAAGCTACACCACAAGAGCTACAACAAAATTTGCCTGCTCAAGAATAGAAGAAACAATGTTTTGATAAGAATTAATTATCTGCTGGAATAGCAGCACAGTATGAAATAAACAGTCTACTGCGTTCTTGCAATAGTTTACGTAAGTTACAGGAATGGCTTTAAATCAACCATGATTACTAGGGTGAATCTGGTTAAGACCAAAAACATGTATGGAAGCCAACCTCTAAACAAGCTTGTCATTCTGGAGGAAGGAAAGAGTAAACAGCAAAATGAAGATGCTCCTGCCTATTTCAACAAATTCGTAACTATTAAATAGCTTCCTGTCAAGATCACCCTCAGAAGAACAAAAAAAAATGTGGAATATTCTTATTAAGAACACTAAATAAACACCAAAAGTAGATCAAAACACCTGACCAGAGAATATTCAGCAGCTTCTTTGCTCCAGTTGACAAAAAGTGCAAATTCTGACAGGCAGGAACATGAAAAAAGCAGATTCCAGAATATCTCCCTCAGCTACATTTGTTCTGCTCCGCTAGTTAAACAAAAGCATATGAGTATATTCAAAGACCAGCAGACTTGAAAAACCAAACCAAATGAAAAACTTAAGAGATTTACAGAAAACTGAAAATATTTGCTTGCTTTTGTTACGCTAAACAAGAACAAAAAGGCAACATGTAAATCAAACTACTCTGGAACTTGACATCAGTTAGGGGATACAGGAAAAAATATAAGAAGTTGATTTACTGAACTATTCTACCCCTGTAAGTATGTGCATCAAGGGATAGACCACAAATGGTAGGAAATCCAAAATTTAATGTCAGAGTGAAGAAACCATCTGCGAAGGACACAAGCACATACAGAAGTGATTTAATTGAAAAAATTTTTTAAACACAGGAAGGAAAATTCCTTTTTTTTTTTTTGATATTGCAGTCAGAGTAAGCAGTAACACCAAAAGGTATGAAAAAGATTTGTAAGCTAACCAGGCTAAGATCAGACCTCATTAAAAATGTACAACTAATTTGTCCAGTATTTACAGAGGTTTTGATTATTCAAAGCAAATGCAGCCTTTCATGAATTCTTTGATTTAGAGTATTTTCAATTAACACTGAAAACTAAAAGGTGATTTTGCACGCTCTGTCATTTTCAATTATCTGCTATAGACAACTTGACTAAGCAGCTCAGTGATACATATATATATATATATATATTAATTTATCATTTATCATAATTTTACAGACAGCAAATCAAAAAGTTGCCCTTGTAGCTGCAATTCTAAGCAGCAAAGTTTATTTGGAATCTATTTCTAAAAACAACTTTCAACATCAAATAATAAAAGTTCTGTTACAGATGCCATCGGAGCAAGCAGCAAGATGTAAATTTAAAACATACAGTATATTTTTCTTTTGCATTAAAGATATGAGATTACACAGTTAAGCGTATGGAAGCCCACAGGACAAATCAGCTTGTCACAAAAAGGAAAAATAAACCAATAAACAAAATGTTCCTGAGAATTTTAAGATTGCAGGATTGCAGTAAGAACCCTCATTTTTCAAAAGGTCAAGAGACAAACACTTCAGACAGTGGCTTCAAACCTCTAAACAACAGCCACACTAGTATGTGACTCACTTCTAAAGTGTCCACAAGAGAAAACTACAAATGTGATCTTGTTGCAATGAGGATTAAGTTTACTAACCATAGTTGCCTGCACCTACACTGGAATTCCTGCCCTCACCCACTCCCCCACTCCTGCAATCACCCCCAAAAGCTAACAAAGATTTGCTGCCCACTGATTCACATTTACACATTCTGATGTAAGACAAAGGTAAAGCTGTGTAACTGAAGGATTTTGGAAAAAAATGCTTCATCACGTTAGTAAAAAAAAAGCTCAGCACCTTGCAGATCAAAGAATATTTAACTATTTTGTTTGGCTATTAAACACAGAAACAAAAGTCTAAGAAGACAATAAAGCAGTAAAAACTTTAAACATAATATTGAAGAAACACTCAAATAACATAGGTGATGTCGTACTACAACATTTTACTTCATTTAAGTACAGAAAATGTCACCCATCCTATGATTTATAAAGTACACAAAATATGTACATAAAAGAAACCAAACCCCATCAAAAGATGATCATATTTGTGCATATGTACATAGAACATACACACCTAAAATGTGCAAATTTCTTTTAATGCAAGTTAAACAAAACATTTTCAGGATAGAGTTCTACAATGATAATGGAAGATAGATTATTCTAGATATCCTAATGGTGTTTCATATCTACAGCCAGTGCAAACTTACAAGGCACAAACTCAATGCTGATGCTGTAGTGTTGTAAGTTACATTCAGGCACATGTCCATTTGCGGTTCTGCAGAGAAAGAGCAATGGAAGTGCTACTTCTATACTAAACTGCCAGCTCTCTCTCCCAGTTTAAACACTAAATTGATGTAACCTATATGCTACAATTACCAGTGGGGTTCTGGGTTAATTTAAAGGAAAGGCTGTGGCTAAAACATCTGTTCTAATCTCCTTGCATGTGAAAGTATGCTACTTCCCAAAATACCTCCCAGACATTCTCCAAAGACTACATATACCTTGCCAGCCTCAACATGTGGGATCTTAGAGGATAGCAGTAATGCTTTTTTCTAACTTTAGTCAAAACTTCACCAGGAAGAGAATCCAGACTTTAAAAACCAAAACAACAAATAAAATAAATCCAAACAACCCCCCAAGAAGAGCTAGCAAAACACCTGAGTTACTTGCATTTAACAAACTTGTGTTAAATTGCATAGTGACAGTGTGTACCAGCTAATAAAGAGTTAAAATCAAAAGCTTGCCGTTTAAGGCAAAATTTTAACACAGCATAGCAGAAAAAAGCCAAATTACAGGTCCATCAATATTTACTCAAAGTACTGGCTCATGTAGTCTTATCCTCACAGTGTCTTCTTTCTTACTTTAACAGCAAACCCACACTTGCAGCATGCTTGATTAGAAAATTTTGTTGTGTTTTTCTAAATGAAATGAGAGAAATTAATATTTATGCTGATTGAAAACACCTGACAAATATGTTCTCTCCCACCCCTTAAAAAAGTTTTTGACCCTACTGGGAGTTTAAAACTCACTGGTATCCAGGTATAATATACTGCCTAAAATGGAACTAGTAATTTAAAGCTTTCTAGTATTTATTAGACATTACCACATCAATTTGCTGTCTCACCCTAAAATTGCATTTTTGTATTATTTTTCAATAGAAGACATTTAATAGACATCTGAGGAAAATAATACAATACAAAAGCTTAAGGGTCTTTGCAAAAGTATCTTCTATTCCTTCTGCAAAGTAAGAAAGGGGTGATTTTATTTGAAGTGCCATCGATAAAGACACGAGAATACTTTAAGAAGAAAAGTTCTAACGCTTCACACATATCTTTGGTTTAGCCTTCCTGACCAAAGTCTTCTGTAAACTTCTTTAACTTCTCCAGGTCCTGTTCATTAACTGTTGGTTTTGTACTAGCAAGCGACCTGAGCATATCGGCCTGTCAGAAAAAAAACAAACATGTTTTCAGAATCAAATATAGTATCACTGCTAGCAATTTTGCTGCCAGGACAAATATGCATTAAAAAAACATTAAGAAGTTCCTATTAACACAAAACTTTAACTAAGCTTGCACACTTCTGCACAGAAGCAGGCTTTTAACCCTTTGAATACAGAAAATGGTCAGTGAGTTTTCCAGTAACAAAACCACAACTTCAGACTTAGGTTTAAGCCACTCATCCATTCAAGTTTTATTAATCTCTTTTTTTTTTTTTTTTTTTTAAAGAACTGAACTTCCTTTGTTTTGGTCAGTTACTATTTTCAACCCATTACTAACTACAGCAGATTAGTGGAAAGTAGTGGGAAATAGTGGAAAATATAGTGGAAGAAGGTAGGAAATAATTGGATGTTCCCATCTACTCTTCACAGTCCAGCAATATAGAACAGCAGTTTGCGATTCATCTCTAGCAAAGTGTTACTGCTCATGACTGGTAATTTCTGTGTCTTCAATTTAATCACTTTCCTAGATAAATATTTAGATGCTAGGAAATGGAGTTTAGAAAAAAATTCACAAGTCTATGAAGTTGAAAGCAGCAGTAAAAATACATTAGGAATAAATGGGTAAAGCAAACCAATCAATTCCCAGGCTAGGGCAACTGAAAAAAGTAGATGCCCAACACCTCCTATTACTATAAAATTACAGGTAAAGTCCAAAAATTAATATAATGATTTTCCACACATGATATTTGTCTCATCAGACCAGAGGCACTCTGATCAAAAAGAATCAAATCCTTCTCTTTTAAGGACAAGAACTGCCTTTAGACACTGAAACATCTGCCTGTAGTGCATCAGAGTCCAGATACCATTAGGAGCACACAAGGAACTGCTGTCTTTAATTCCAGGAAAGACTGATTAAAAATCCAATTAGACCATGCAGGGAGAAGTTTTAGGGCAGGCCTGCACCTGCATCAATCCTTTTCTGCTTCCTCAGTATGCAAATACATACAGGAAATTATTTTCTGAAATACAGTGATGGTTGTATTTACAAAGCAGTGCCTGTGATCCCCATGAAATGCACTGATTTTGTTCATTCCTTACAGGACTGTCTGGACACAGGGAACTACAGCAACACAGATTTGTTATTAAGCGTTTACCACAAACTTTGTACTTAAATTCAAAATCTTCTTTTGCTGCTCTTGGGAAAAATGCAGAATGAGTGTCCAGCAATTATTTTTTTTCTTAAAGAGTGAACACAAAAAAACCCCTCAAAATCTTGAAATAAAATTGAAAACTGTCTTACATATTTTATTTCCTAAGCCAAAGCAAGCATTTTCATATACACAAAGAAAACAGCAGAAGGAGCTGCATCACCTATGATGAATTTTAACCTAAACTAACATTACATCCAAAATCTTCTTATATTTTGGGTTTTATACTTGTATCTATTTCACAGGCAATATTTACCCACAGCACATCACTCCCCAGTTTACAGTGAATTTAATTTTCCACTTCCCACTATTAATGCCATAGCGATGAGAAGAAAATGCATCATGGTGCAGGAACCCTAAAGGTTTGGAATGAATAAAAGCCAAGTGGAAGAGCCATGCAAGAGCCAGATACTGTCTATGGGTGAAAGGATGGCAGCTGCATGCCAGCAGACAAGAATAAGAAATGCTTATCAGGGATAGACAGCTGTCTTTTTCATGAAAATGCCATACTGTAGTGATTTATGTTGAGAATTCAAATGTTATCTGGTGTGCCCAGCATTTCTGAAAACAAACATCTCATCCAATTGTCCTGAAAAAGACTCTTTACCTTAAAGCCTTTTCAGAGTTCTGCGAAACAAGAAAGCAATGCTACAAAGAATACCTACCATGGAAACTTTAGGCTCCAGTAATTTATCACTTGGGACCTCCATCCACGTCATTTCTATGGCTTCAGGATCACCTGGAGAGCAAGGGGTGAATAAATCTACCATCGTATTTGGATTAGACACTGATGGTCCTTTTACCTAAAAATAAGAAAACACTCAGTTTATAGGAATTATTATTTTGAAGACAGAAACCAGAAGATGAACAGTACCCCAAGCAAAAACTGTTCCTTGATTTTATGCAGAAGCCCTACCCATTGGGAACACATGTCCTGTGAAAGAGAAATTGTACAACTGTACCGGTATTATTCACCTTGAAAACATGCAGCTGTAGCCAGATACTTAAGTTTACATGAGGTCAAATCCCAGAAGCCACAGCCTCTTAAGGCTGAGGATTTCTGTGGAAAACTGACATGCCAGGAAATCTGCTTGGTGAAGACCACCCTTCCTGGTCCCTGGTCGCTTTAGGAGTTCATTCATCTCTAGTTAACAGCTCTCTAGAAGCTTCCCAGTGCTTTTCGCTCTGACATCCCGCGTTCCCGAGCCCCCAGCACCTTTCCCGGCACCACCCGAGCAGCGCTCCATAGAAAACAGCGCCACCTAGCGGGAGAACAAAACAGCCTTTTTTTCACCTCCAAAGACAGACAGACGGACAGACCCAAAAAACCTGCACCGGGTGTCTGTTCCCTTTCTGCAGTACACTGTTACCTGCAGCACCACACACCCACGGGAACTCGGAGCATATGCAGAGGTTGAAGGACAACACACTAACTAGCTATGGGCAGAACTGGATTTGCTATTCCAAACTGTATTTAGAGCAAGATGTTGGAGAACAGATTGTCGTATTCAAAATGAGCTCAGACAAACCTGCATTATCACATTTGCAAGGAAAGGTTTACAGTTAATGACTGACAACTAAGGAAAGCTCTGCTGAACTGAGACGAGTCATCTGTTATATCGCAAATAATAACACTAGGAGTTTTGCTTATAAAAGCACAAAATCACATCCAATTAAAGCATTAACAATACAGGTGGAATCAACATGGCTCATGTCAGAGCGTTCAAAGTATTGCAGTTGTGAGTTTTTTCCTTCCTGTATTTTCTTTTCTTCAGCAAAAATAGTTAAGATGCAAGAAGTGCTTTTGAAGTTGTTCCACAAACTGTGACAACTGAGGTTATTTCCTTGCTCCATGGCAAGCTGAAACATGCCCCAGATTGTTCCAAATTTGAACAAAACACTAAAAGCTAACACCCCTTTAGCCAGAAATGCCATTGTCATGTAAAGTTAACAACAGAGAAGTATTTCAGACATCACTGCTTAAGGGAAGGAAGCATCTAGAAAATCCTTGATATATCAAAGTCACTATTTATTTATCAACAAATACAGCTTTACATCACATTGTTACTGTGAATTGTCCCCAAAAGTTAAACCTGCCCTCTCATATTCTGCACCATACTGGATTTAAGTGTGTCTTTCTCTTTGAATCTTAAGCTGAATGAGTTAATTGGAAGAAACCACATTGAAAAAAGGAGCCTATCCTCTAAGTGAGTGTAGCTGTTCAGTTCAGGGCCCCCAACCCTTTTACATCAGGTTGAGTTACTGGTAAAAAAACTGGAATTGTAACTGAGATGACAAAGAACTGCTGCCAACACAACATATATGGTACTTGACACCTTAGGATCTAAAGCTTTTCCTACCACACCTGCTCTTTTAAGAAGCAACAAATTAAAGCTTCCTTTTACAGCAATTAGCACCTCTGTAGAATATCCTGACCCACCTTCACCCGAGATACATGAATTTCCGTAAAAATCAAACTTTGCACTAAAAATTTTAACAAAAAGTACCTTTAGTCTGCATCTACTTTAAAATATGCTACACAGCAAAATACAACTTTATTCAACTGATGCACATTGTATGTAGCTTAACCTCTGTTTAAAACCATTGATATTATCACTCTTTTTTTTCCATTTAAGAGTGTAATAGTTTACAGGGAACAATTAATTTGTCTGAGCAAGGCCCATCTGTGCAAATTCTCCAAGGGGAAGACTTCCCAGATTTAAAGGATTTAAACTGGTGGTAAAAATTCCCAATTGGTTCTTGTTCAGATAAAGTTTTTAAGATCCAAGTATTGGGAAGAAACATTTCTTAAGTCAATACATTGCATGTAGAGGCAACTGGAAGATAAACCAAACAATATATTTTGAATACGCTCTTTGGTCTGCACCTATATAAAGGAAACTGATTTTTACATTACAGTGGTGTAAATGAAACACAGACCTTGCTCAGTTGTGTTGCATCTTTACCTCTCTAATTGAGTAAATGTTTCTACCAGAACTCTACAAGAACCTTAATTTTTTCAGTTTGAAAAATATGCCAAGTACACAGAATGTGCTTAAGTATAATCCATCTGTTCTCAAGTGGATGAGGGATACATTTATCTTTTTTCCAGCATGTTAAGAACCACTTAACTTAAAATAGAAAAAGAGCACTTCCGTAACATTGCCATTTAAGTCAAACTGCAAACTGAATGCTTTTAACACTCTCTAGAGACACTGAGACTCAGAGCATGAATATTCAGAAATTAGCTCCACCAGACTTCTGGCAGGACTAGGGGGAGGCTACGGGGAAAGGAAGAGGAGTTCTCCCCAGTCAATAAAAGGGACATTCATGAGCATGCAGTATTACCCAGAACCAAATTCAGTTTATTTGCAAGGAATTTTCAAATTAAGACTGCTCTCAAAGATGTAATAACTTGAATAACTACTTACTTTTTTGAAGTGAGTCGCTGATTGCACTTTTCTAACAGGCTGCATCAGTGCATCACGGACAATGATGCTTATATCTGCACCAGAATAGCCATCAGTTCTCTTCCCAAGATCTCGATAATCTGCTTCTTTTAGGTCATTTGGAGTTGATCCAAGGTGAAGTTTGAACATTGCAGCCCTGGCATGGTCTTCAGGTAAAGGAATATATATACGCTTCTCAAACCTGGTTTAAAAATGACAAAAACAAAGCATTCCCAAGATGCCACCTCATGCAGGTGGCACAGTGGAAAGAGCTCATGCAAATGAGTTTTCTCCTAGCAATATTAGAAAGAAACAGTTTTAGTACAACAAACCTTAAAAAAAAAATATCTCAGGCAAATATTCAGCAACCTGATCTCATAAATAATACTTTAGTTAGTGTAAGCTAACATCCAGAATTTAACAACTGCTTCCTTTACATTACAAAAACCACCTCTTCAAGACTGACATTCTTCCAGCAGGGTTTGAGTCTTAAAAGAAAAAACCCTGAGAGGAAGAAGTCTTTAAGTGCTGAAATGTATTTTAACAGATTTCACACTCAAAGAAAGAACTGCCTGATAACAAGTTTATGCAACAACTTTCTACAGTCTCCAACTAAATTAAGAAAACACCATAGATGGAAGCAAATTTGAAGTCATTCTCAAGAAAACATTGGTAACTGTAGTTCCTCCTTTGAAGCAGCATCTGTTCTCAGAGTGGAGATTACCTCCCACCAACTAAGAGCAACTCCAAATTCTGCTGAACATAACCTGATATACATGACAAAGTGGCCCAAATCCATGAAAAATTTATTTTATTACAGCCATTGTTCTACAAGTTCCTTTAAATCTTGTGGGCAAGAGCTAGGGAATTTCTTTTTCATGTTGCTGAATGAGAAAATGGTTTGGGTTGAGAGGGACCTTGAGGATCATCTAGTTCCAATCCCCCTGCCACAAGCAGGGACACCTTCCCCTAGACCAGCTTACTCAAAAACCCATCCAACTAGGCCTTGAACATTTCCAATGATGGGACATCCACAACTTCTCTGGGCAATGCGTGCCAGTCTCTCACCACTGTCATCAAAAAATTTCTTCCTTATGCCCAATCTAAACCCATCCTCTTTCAGTTTGAACAACTGCCTCTTGTCCTGGCATTACAAGCCTGGGAAAAAAACCAAGGAACTTCTCTCCACCTTTCTACCAAATTTCTTTTATATACTGAAAGGCCACAATAAGGTCTCTCTGGATCCTCCTTCCCTTCTCTGAACAGCCCCCACTCTTATAGCTGGCTTTCAGAGGAAAGGTGTTCTGGTAATTTTTGTGGCCCCCTTCTGAACACACTCTATCAGGTCCATGTGTGTCTTTCACTGTGGATCCCAACCAAAGCTGGAATTTCAAGAATGACTTGGAAGTTTCAGAAACACCTTCACTTCTAAATCTGGCTCATACAACACTAGAGTCATGCAGATGGGAAGTGACATCTGCAGGTGACCTGATCCAACCCCAAATCAAACTGAAGTATGGCCAGCTTGAATTCAGTATATAAATAAAACTCCATGTCAGTCACAAAAAAAAAAATCAGTGATTCTTTAGCCAACAAAAGTGGCCATTGTCCAAGCTGTGTCCTCATCACGACAGAATCCTGTTTGTCACATAACTGTATCTGTCCTCTGTTTGCTTTACAGCTCAGAGAAAGATCCAAATAATCAGGTACAGGCAGTCCTGCATCTGCAAAACAGCAGTTAAAAATCACAAGTTACGCCTGACCAGTAGAAAAACACGGCATTTCTCCGTAAGATTACACTTCCATAAAAGAACTCAAGCTACTCACCAGTTTGTTAACAGCTGAAAAGGAAAGCTCTACCCCCTCTTGCCCTTCTGAGGTGTGTATTTTCTAACTTGTCCCGTAAGTCCCCCAGAAAACCAAAAAGCAAGCAGAAAACTCCTCTGTTTCTTCAAGCATAATCATCTAACCAAGAAATCAGATAAAGTACAGGGCCAATACAAGAGTGAACGACCAACCCCTCTCTAAAGGCGCAAGTGACTATCTCCATGGAATCTCCACTCCATGGAATTGAGCTGCAGAACATTAACTGTGTCTGCAAACATGAGCTAGATGAACAACTTAAGCACTCTCTGGCTGAAGGCTCATACCAGTTGTGAACTGCACACCATGAAAAAAATGCCATCATACCTTCTCCTGATAGCAGAATCCAAAACCCAAGGTATGTTTGTTGCTCCCAAGACCAAGATTCCTTCATTGTCAACACCAACCCCTACGCCAAGGTAGAAATAATTTCACAGTTTAGATGATGAACAGAGACTGTTTTAAAAGGTCATCAAAATTTAAGGGCGTGGAACTGCAGGTATTTTTAGGGTTCTAATGCAAGCTACACTTCAAAATACATGTCTTTAATTTCTCTGTCTGATTTTGAAAAGCAAATAAACTTACCTTGCATCTGGACTAGAAATTCTGTTTTTATCCGTCTAGCAGCTTCGCTTTCATTTTCACTTCTTGACCCACAGAGGGAATCTATCTCATCAATGAAGATGATAGAAGGTTTGTTTTCTCTGGCAAGCTGGAACAAGTTTTTCACTAATCTTAAAGAAGGAAACAGCTTCAGATATATTAATAATTACAACAGCAGAAACAAATAACTTCAGATTGTGATACAGTCATTTCCTTTAGAGAAAGCAAGGAAAAAAAGAAGCACTGACATAAAGCCACTCAAAGATATAAAAGATACAAAGATACAACACTCTTCCAGCTTCATGACTCAGAATTATACTGAATGAGAGAGCTCGGAATAAAAAAAATAAAAGTTAGAGTGCTCCAGGCATGATTTTTTAAGATAAAGCCCTTTTTCAGTTTACACTTCCACATGACAGCCTGGACTATACAAAACCACCAATTTAGAAAGATTCAAAAGAAGAAGGCTTTCTCTTAACATTTTAAAGTTAAATTAATTCTAGAGATTTTGTAAGAAATAACATGTATCTTTAGTTTATACAACTTTACTTACTAAGTATTTTTTGTATGACAAGAAATACTGGTTTCAAATAAAATCAACAAACCCCCATATACCCCTAGCCATCTCTCATGAACACATTTCACTAGTTTAAAAAAGAAAAATAAATAGGAACATGCTGGGAAATTCTTCATGTTACAGCACTAAATCTCACACAATAGTCTCAAATGAAGTCAAGCATGAAATCTAATGCCAAGCTAGTCTCCAGTTCTGTATTCCTTTTGCAACAGAAGAAAAGCAGCTTAAGGCTTCCAGCTTTCTGGGGAAAAAATAATTCAATTCAAACACTTTATCTAATAGTCTTTCTTTCTCATTCTACCAACTTCAAATAGTGTTGCCCTGTTGTCCCATACTTCAAACTATTAAATCATGGGTGTAACAAGTATGCTTATCATTTTATGAAAATCCTTTCCCTATAAACCCTGAGCTTTCTATTAATTCAGCAAATCTCTTTTAGAAGACTACATGGACAAATTCCTGACTTCTAGACTGCAGCCAACATGTCACTCCTGGTCTTCTGGCTTCCTGGCCTTCTTCATATATCACAAAATAACAAATGAAGAGTTAGCATAGGGAGCCACAAAATCTCCTTTCACAGCCGCTCCTCTCCTTCAACTTCTCTTTGCAAGTCTCTTATTTTTTTCAGATTTTGTTTGAAATTGGGATGAACAAAAACCCCACCTCTGTATTAACAAAGAAATGCCACACAGCTGCTGGGACAGATGAGTGGGGGAGATGCCAAGAAGTAAAGTAACTCAGCACTTCGGACTGATACAGTGAACAATCACAGCTGAATTCAGCAGGGAAATGATGAGCTCTGTGGTGCTCCCAAAATCTTTGAGCACTGAAGAGAGTTTCTCAAAATGTGGCACATAACGGTATCTTTACATGGCACTGCAGCATGAAGCATAGAAACACCTATGGTTTGTTTTTAAAAGGATCATTCTCTTAAATTCTTTGCAGCAACTTATCTCACTCTATAATAATTTCTTCTTGACAGTATTTTCCTGGACCTCTGGCAATTCCAACTTACTTTTCACTTTCACCTAACCATTTTGAGACAAGGTCAGATGAAGACACTGAGAAGAAGGTAGAGTTGTTTGCTTCTGTTGCCACAGCTTTTGCTAAATAAGACTTTCCTGTTCCTGGTGGTCCAAATAGGAGAATCCCTCTCCATGGTGTTCTCTTGCCTGCAAGAGAGAAACCAGCAGTTTTCAAAATACTGTCTTCTGATTACACCCCTCACAGGTTTTCTGCATCTACCCACGAAACTTCTGTCAGATGGATCAAAATCTTTGTTAAGAGATCAGCCTGAGTCTGTGATAACATTGGCACAACTTCACAGGCCCCAGTGCCAGTCCTGACTGGCCAATAGTAAATAAATGCTGTAATCCTGACCTGTAAACAGGTGTGGAAATTTAATGGGAAGGATGACTGCTTCTTTAAGTGCCTCTTTGGCACCTTCGAGGCCAGCAACATCACTCCACTTGACATTTGGTCGCTCCATAACAATTGCTCCTGTATGAAAAGATTGTCTAAATTAGTGATCTATATATCTTTTCACAATTACAATAAGTTCCATTTGGTGAAAAAAGAAATCTATGCCCATGTCTATACAAAATAAAAACAAGGCATTTCTAAGATGATAGAAACACTGAATTCCGTTAGTCAGATGGATGCTATTTTTACCGAAATTTGTCACATTTTTTACCACAATAAACCATGGATAATCAGAATATTTGTGAGTTAGCGGAAGTCCTGGCACCATCTCATCACTAAACCACCACTGCACTTCCCAAAAACTTTGAAATTTCATTTTAAACAATGCAGCTGCACTAACTCAGGTTTTTTTTAATATTCTCCAGCAGATGAAGTAACTTGTTGGTATCTCCGGACATGCAGCAAACAAACAGATCATCTAATGGAAAAGAGGTTTGAGAGCTAGGGCTGAAAGCATCAGAAAGGTTATATGGATCTTGCTTAGCTGCAGAAGTATTTTCTTAGTCAAGGCACATTCAAAGTTTTGCACCAAGTCTCATTTTCATCAGTCAATGAGTTCAGCCAGCTGAGCTGTAATTTAGCCTTCTCTTCAGATTGGTTAATCTGACATGCTAAAAATTTTATCTCAACTACTTCTAGATGGGAAAATTTAGAACTCAGGTAGTAATAGATTATTAGATCTATAATACAGATCTTGTAATGCTATCCACTACTTCAGCTATCTGAGGTCAGATTCATGTGAGAAGAAACAAAGTCTGTATCGTGAGAGACAGGATAGGAGTTCAGTGCTAATCAATTTTCTGTCACTTTAAAAAAAGACAGGAAACTGTCCCTTATAACTGTGTATAGGATTAAATAACGTGTGGAGAAGTAGAAAAAGCACAGCACAGTTTCCAATGGTGATACAACAGCTCCTGAAATTACACAAGCACAAGATCTGGTAAATGCATCTGATCTTTGTTACAGTCAAAAACAAGAGAATAAGGATTCTTCAGATCCATAAGCACCTTCTGGTAGGGAAGTTCTGAACAGTTCTTCATTATTAAAGGGAAATAAGTATCAAAAAGCCTCCTTTTTACTGCACAACAAACTGCTGCTTCACTGACTGTGTTCTGTACTTGAGTTCAAAAACCCAAACTATGCTACTGAACCGGGACAGCATCATCACTGTACATAAGAAAATGCTGCCTGTTATTATAAATGGGAAACAATCCATGTTTCTTACTCCTAAACATGAATACCAGTCTTTTTGTCAAAACACCTGCTTACACTAAGTATTTGTATCATCATTTCCTTGGCCTCCTTAGGCAACATGCTAATGCACTTCAGAGTAAAAAAATACTAAATCAGTTCATCCAATAGCTATCTGGGATTTTGCAACTTCTATTGGAAAACGCTAGCTTGATAGATGATACAATTTTAATATGAAGCATAGGGTGCAAGAGATACATTTCAATACAGTCACTGTATAACTATACTGCGTGCATAACCCACTGTATGTGTCCATGGCATGCAAGTCCTTTTACTTCCATAAAGACTGCGCTTTTGCATGTGAAGATTACATACTACTTGAGCCACTTACAGACATTAAATTAATTCCTAAAATTTGAATGGCTAAAATATAGGAATTTTGACTTGACTGAAGTGATCCCTATTTAAAGAAAAGGATGCTTCAAATTACCTTGAAGTTGATTCTGTAGCTTCTTTTTTTCAGGGTCCTCTGATTCCCCTTCCCCATCACTGTCATTCCTGATTTGGAAACAAAATGTTAAAATACAATAAAAAAGACTGCTGTCTTGGGATAAAAATCAGAATGCAAAAAGCAGAAAACCCTTCAGGCTGAGGAATGAAAGAAACACAGATGCTTTCAGACCTCTACAGGTTTACATCATTGTAAAAAACCAGAAGTACACTTTTCTATGATTTCTTTCCAATTCACCCTCCTTTGCCATTTCAGCTTCCTCTTATGGGCCTATGTCTTAAGACATAGAAGTGTCTTAACACACTTCTATGTGCTTTGAGCCAACTTTTAGGAAACATAGCCCTTATATCCAGCAACACAGAGGTGCTGGAATGGTTTGTGTGTAGACATTGACACTTCTTCTCTGTCTGGACATGCAACAGGACTTGACCAATTCCATCTAGTACTACAAAACTCTTGTCTTAGCAGAGCAAAAGAAACTGGAAGTTAAAGAAGGAAAAGAGACTAGATAGTGAACAATTGGAGTGACAGCCATGAAAATATATGTAGTCTTTGTGGTATTACCATTTCCTTCTATTATAAATAAGCAGAAGAAGGTACAGCTTGAAAAATAAGGCTGATGAGATGTGCAGACTGATTGAAAAAGGCTGAAAATCAGGTGACGTTTTAAGAGACAAATGAGCAACTTTAGCTGTCCAGGACTCCTAGAAAGGTATAATCCTGAATTCTTCCTCTCTCCTATCCCCATAAAGGCAGTAGCAAATGCAAAAGAGGCTGGGCTTGTTTAGGTGGCTTTGCTTGTTCAAGTCTCTGATATGCAAAGTGAGAACCAAATCTAAGAGAGGAGAAGCAGTGTCGAGACCAGGCAGCAGCAACACATTAGAGGGATTCAGTCCACCTTACAGAACTTTACCCTACATAGGGCTTTTCATCTCTTATCAAGTGCAAGACAGATCAAACTCAATAGCCACAGTAATCACCAGTCTGAAGTTATTTTCTAGTTACCAAGTATTTAAATGAAGAAAACCTTTAGAGGTCACCAGGCTCCTTGCCATTAAATCATATAATCATTGTACTCAGCTGTTAGTCTGAAGCAGCTTTCGTTCTTCAGTGAATTTCCTATGCAAATGTTCACATCTAAGTAAACAAGCACAGAAATGCTAGTGATGGTAATTCAAGTTATTTTTATTAGCCCACTGTATTTCAGCATTAGTAGTCATCTGAAGCATTTCAGAAACACAAGTTAAAATTAACTTTGCATAGTTGAAGTTTAAAATAAGGTGAGCTCAGGAAGTATTTTGCTTTACCTTCTCCAAAAACATACCCTTTTCCTTCAGCAGGACCAGACTCTTTAACTGGTTTTGGTGCAGTTTTTTCTCTCTTTTTCAGATACTCTTTCAGCTTTTCTGCTCGGTCCAAGTATTCTGTACATTTTGCTCTAATGCTTTGTTTTGCTTTATCACTCTGTGCTTCATCTAAGAGTATGAAGAGAAACAATTCTTTGTTAACAGCTAAACACATGTGCATCAATCAAAAAAAAAGATTAAAAGTCTGTCTAAAAATCTTTATCTCTTATCAGTATGCCTCTCTCAGGGCTCACCACATAACCAAATATCTCAACTACTTATTTTTCTACTATACCTTGGAAAGAACTGACCAGAAGGATGACATCATGTAACAGAAATCAAATATTCACCTGAACATTGCCTTGGCTTAAAATTTGACTTTAAAGGATTGAGGACAACAGCACTGGAAACATTTCTGTCAGCCTTTCAAGCTGCTAGACATTGCCTTAATAATGCTTTTCTAAAATAGCTAATCAAGAAGCTGCTTGTGCTAGGCAATTTTTATTTAGAACCATACTTGATTTTTCCATAGCCTGCTAATTTTAAAAGATAAAGAAAAATTACATAAAACATCTGAAAGAATTAGGTGTGTTTCAACAGCCACACTATTCTCATAACCACTATTATAGTATTTCAAACCAACAATCAAAATTTAACATGTCAGGTTTATGAGCTAAGTTTCAAAAGTACATCAGTATTGTTAAAAACACAGAAAGTGATATTCTGAGAAAGTCTGTAAGATTTAAATGGACAGGAAGTGATAGACACAGATGATCGTAATTACAAAGGACTAGAAAGAAAACTTTTTTCAAATTATAAAGATCTGTGACTTTTGTCAGGCAAGCAACCCTAGCCCACTTACATTAGTGCTGTACCCACATTAAGAAAGCCCACTCCTTGCATACAAACACTGAATGTGGCACAAAAGGTAAACAGAGGTGTGAAAAGGCATAAAGTAAAGAGAATATGGAAACTGAAGAAAAATTGCTACATACAAGTCCATCTCATACATTTTCTCGGCCAATATAAACAGCAAGACTGACATTAAGGAGCAAAAAATGTCAGCAGAGAGGCTTTAGAAGGGCAAGCAGCATGAATTAAAGGAGCAAAAAACACTCTGCAAAGACTTAATGTGTAAGACGGTTTCCAGCACAACAGAAATACAGGGATCCCTGTACTTATTGTCTTATTTCCTCGTGCAGTGGCCAGCTTGAAACACTGCTACAAAAGTCCAGAGGAGAGACAGCAAACACCTGCCTCCTGTCTTAAAAAAACCTAAAACAAAACACAAGTAAAAAATAATCTGATTTCTTACAAGAATGGAGCAAGCACACAACACAGTAAAGGTAAAAGCTGCAAAATATATGACCTCAGTCAAAATACAATTAACAAGTATCAACTGTTGATGAGAGCAAAAATTTAAATATTGATGTCAACATAAGAGATTACTCTTGTGCAATCTGACTACTAAACTCTACTTAATCATCCAACACATCACACTTACATTTAACAACATGGAGAAAATACTGCACAGCATGTTGGTACAAGCGGAAGGCTTCCTCATAGTTTCCTGCTTTATCTTCTTGTGCTGCTTTGATAGCAAGGTCTATTGCTTTCTGTAACACAAACAAACAAACTGTTGCTGTACAAGAGCATTTTTCCATGATCAGAGATCATTTAAGCTGTTACTGTTCTTTGATGACCAGTTTTTCTGCTCTTCAACATTGACCCCTTAAAGCTGGAGGCAACTGATTGTCTTAGGTGGTGTTTTGTACAAGACACAATATTTCTATCCTTTTATGAACAGTGGGATTTACAAACTGCTGAAATTTATTTAATTCAGTTAAATAAAAAAAACCAAACTGTAACTACTACTATTTTGTCTATGCTGTCTGTTTTACAAATCTCTTGCATTTATTATGGAAAGATCTGGAAATCCATTATAAGGCTTGGAGTTTTTTTAATCACAGATGCAAACACATTGAACTATGATACAGACATGCTGTTCAGGGTGTGGTTTAGGGGTGCACTTGACAGTGCTGGGTTAATGGTTGGACTCAATCTTTTCCAACCTAAACAATTCTATGATTCTATAACTGATGGTATCAGTAAACCCTGTAAACAGCAAAGTCAATAGGGGAAGTACTTGATTACAATCACTGAAACTAGCACTATCACTCTTCAAACATTATGCTCAGAGACATCTTCAAAGACCAGTTGCTTGGTTTCTCTAGGAGGATTTAGATTCTTGATATCCTAGTGAGAAATTCCAATTATCACTCTGGTGGGAGAAGAGAAAAAAAGTCCCAAAACAGACAGAGAACATACCCAAATCTTGAGCATCAAAGAGTTCTATGAGAAGCTGTGAATGGATTTTTACTTTACTTGTTCAGCTAGTTTCAAATAAATCTGACTGTGATCTAAGCCACTGTATTGCACACACTGCCCTGTGGATTTGTTGTATCACCACTATTCCGTTGCTCTTAAGTGCTTATTACATTTTATTACACTTTCCTCCTTGGAATGCCCATACCACTTCAAGACAATTAAAACAGTCATTTTGACCACTAGTTCATGTAAGCTGAAAATAAGCAGTCAGCCAGCATTAACCAACACCAACTAAATATTCTAGAGTTCCTCACTTATTTTTTCCCTTGTGGTTCCCCTTCCTAAGCATTGCTAGTATGCTCAGGAAGATTTTGTAATGTCAGGGAGCAAAGTTGAGAACTTGGAAGTGCAGCTAGGAGTTTCCATTAGACATTCCAGTACAGATACTCTTGCCACTGTCTACACTCTGCTGTGTTTCAGGCAGAACAAAGCTGGTAAACAACAGCCACGAAATAAAGAGCAAAATATTGTGTTCTATTGCTCTGTGTTGCTGTCTTGGAAGCAAAGATCATCTCAACAGATCTACCTGAAATCAAAGGAATTTAAAAATAATGAACCAGTTAAAGACTCTATGGCTCTGTTGTGGCAAGTGCTGGAGGACTGTAAGCATCCGTTTCTTTGGAACAGAACTGAAGTCTTTCCTTTTTGCAGTGGCCAAGAGCTGGTGAACAGTTTCCAGGTATGAATGGACAGCTGCATCCTTGCTGCCCATTTTATGCTGACTCCCTTACACACCTCTGTGCACCATTCACATCTAGCAACAGCAAAAGTTAACCCACCAGAAAGTTATTTTCATATTAAAGTTCTTAAGTCCCGTCTGTGACTTTAATTACCACGGTACAGTCCAATAATTCCTGGATCCAGTGCAACAAAGACAGTGATACATGTGACATCATTCCAAAGAATAAATCGCAAAGATCAGCTGCTAAAACAGAACTGTGAGAAACCATGGCACGTTGCAGACCTGCTCCTCTGAAGTAGACAAAAGTCTGCGTTGTCACGTATTGCCTGGTTTTGCTATACTTCCTTTTTGTAAACAGCCAAGACTATTACCTGGCTAGTAGATTCTCAGCTCTAATACTTCATTACATCAGCTGCATCTTAGCCTGTTACTGTAAAGAATACCACTGGTATCAAACAGAAAATCATTATTAGAAAGTTGTTTGAACTAGGGCATAGATGACCAGCTCTATGATGGCTGAGGCACAAGCAATGTTTTATCAGGCCATGGGTTTATAGTTGGATGAACATCACCCAAGGAAAGAATGTCACCTTAAAGAGGTGTCATTCTTCTGCTTTTTATAGACCCTATAACATCTCCTCCAGCTTTGCCAATGCAAACATCACACTGCCAGCATAAACACGGCATACAAAAATCATCACGGTTCAAGCAACCGAAGAGAAAAAAGGCCTGTTTGGAACGCACTTATTTCACTTCGGGGTCTGTTTTGCCGGCCAGCCCCGGAACTGATGACACCCCCTAGCCGAGGGTTAACACTAGCGAGCAGCAGAGCAGGCAAGGGCTTCCCACAGCCACCGCCAGCAGTCTTACAGCAACACAAGCCGAACCAGGCGTCCAGACCGCCAGGGGCAACAGCGCTTCCCGGGCGGGCATTAGGCCTCGCCGCCCGGGTCCCGCAGGGCCGGTGCCCACAGGGATCCCTTCCCGGGACCCCTTCCCGGGACCCCTCCCCAGGGTCTCACGGCCCGGGGAGATGAGGGCTGACCCTGTGGGCTCTGCCAAGCCGAGTCCACCCACTCCCCCTTCACTGCGGTGCCCGCGGCCCTCCCAGCGGCGCCCCCGGCCCGCTGGGCGGGGTGCATTCACGTTCCCTGTGCCCGGCTCCGCCCGCAGCCCCCTCCCCGGGACACCCCCGGCCTCGCTCATTCCTGGCACCGCCCCCCGCCCGCCGCCGCTTGCCGGGCCCGCCCCGCGCCGGGCCGGCGTCGCTCTACCTGCAGGTTGCCGCTGTTGGCCGCCATGGCGGAGCGGCCAGGCCAGGGAGCCGGAGGAGACTGGCGCGGGGAGCGGGCCCGGCTGCCGGTGGCGCAGCGCCCCTGCCCCGCCGCCCGCGGAACCGAAACCGCGGCCTCCGCCGCAGCTTCCGCGCCGAGCGCCGCTTCCGCCTCCGCTTCCGGGCACGCCCCGAGCGCCCGGCCCGGCCCCGGCCGCGGGTGTGGCCGGGCCGCGCTGACCCGCTGCGCGCTCGGGCTGCGTCGGGCGCTCAGGAGAGGAGCCAGTCCAGCCCACCCCCCGCCAAGACAGAGTCACCTGGAGCAGGTGACACAGGGGCGGCATCTAGGTGCGGTTTGGAATCTCTCCGCAGGAGAGTGCACGACCTCCCTGGGCAGCCCGTCCCAGCGCTCTGCCACCCTCAGCGAAAAGGAGTTCTTCCTCATGTTGAGGTGGGACTACTTGTGTTTCAGTTTATGGCCGCTGCTCTGTCACTGGGCACCACCAAAAAGAGTCCGGCATCATCCTCTCGGCACTTGCCTTGGAGATATTTATATGCATCAAACAAGTTCCCTTCTCAGTGCTCTTTTCTCCGGATTAAACAGGCCCAATCCTGTTTAATCAATCATGACAGAGTCAAGAGCAAGTGTCACTCGCCCGTGAGTTAGTAAAGAAGATCGGGTGACGTGCGATGCTTACAGAGTGGCGGGGAGGAAGTGACTCAACACACAACCAATTACAAACCAGTTCTGGATGTAGGGACGCCTGCTAAATAAGGGCCAGATCTTCCCGTCTGGTACATTAATTCCTTTAGGGGAAAAAAAAAAGTATCTGGCAAGCTTTAATGTAATAAACTCCATTCTTCAAGTTACCTCCAAGTTACCACAGCGCAGCTTTGACTTAGTAATTCCAGTGTAATGTTTTTGATTTTATTTTGTAATAAAAGTCCGCTGAACCTTTTTGATATGGTCAGTAGGCTGTGTGCTTTGGGCACAAGGGAAAAAAGGCATATCCACAGTTCTCCCTGTACCAGGGAAGGTCGTGGTGAATCTCTTCATTAAGTCATCTGGTTGGCAGTTTGTTTTGCTAAGTGTCCTCACGAGTTGAGGATGCTTTGGTTGATTTTTAGACATGGTCAGTAACAGCTGCTCTCCTTGGATCTACTGCAAATGTGTAAAGACATGATGTAGGAAAGATTAAGTCATGTAATCAGGCTTTGGAAAATGAGGTGGTAAGGACTGAAACTGGCCAAAGTGAAAGGTGAAATGATGATTTCTAAAGGAACCTTATAGCTGTGTGGTCATCAGGATTCAAGCACAGCATCAATGTTGGGACTGATGATATTATTGATATTATAACTAGGATCAATACTGTATATCATTTTCTTTCTTATTCCATCTTCAAAGGATGAGGCAAAACAATCCCTTTCACTCTTTCATGCTTGATTATGCCAACATGAAGCCTTTGGGCTACTTCTAACCTTTTTATTTAAAACAGGCTATGTCCTTGGGGTATCATTTCCTTTCTGGCTTTACCTTCTCATTCTGGTTAGTGTAACAGAGTATTCTCATATATGTTCCTGATGCTAGTAATTCTGTGTCATCTGAACCTATGATTTTTAATTCTTTAATGTTATATTTAAGTTTATGACCAAGGTCTAAAACAGTAAGTACCTCACAAAAGTGTAAGTATGCCTTTCCAGTCACACTGAACAGGCTTCTGAAACTCCAGAAAAAATGACTGGTTTCTGCGTATGTGATTAAAGGAAGTAAATCAGAAAAGGCACCTCTGCCATTTACAGATAACAGGCTAAGTCTTGCACTCCTTACTTAAGGCTTACTCATATAATATTCTTGCTGTAATTTGACTTTTCAGCTAGTTTTGCCTGAGGAAAGACTAGATGACTGCTGAGTAATGACATCAAGATTATTTCTTGAGAAGCTAATGAAGTGTCATGTTAAGGGCATTACTTCAATTTGAGGGACAAGTACAGTCGCATTATCTAATGCTTCCCAGTGCTGAAGTTCCTGTGTTACCATATCCTAAGAAGGACTGTGTCCAAACAAGTGTAATGAAAATAAAACATATTAATGATATTAATATGGGTACCTTCTGGCCCCAGCTAAGTCCATCCCATAACTGCTTGGGGCATTATTGCTCACATTACTTTGGCATTACGTGGCGCAGGCACTGATGATCTCCTGTGTTTCCTAAGGCTGAGTAAGCTGTTGTGGAGAATGCTTCCTGCTGCCATGCCTTGGTTTGGAGGGAAGGGGCCCACACTGCATGTTGCCTGGACACCTTGGGCCAAGAGGAGATGGATACATCAATAAAACAAACCATGCCTACAGCACAGCTAGGTGTTTGTATCTATGATTCTCCTCCACCACGGCAGCTGAGGGGTGGCTAGAGATGACTAATGTTACCATCAGAGTGAGATTGGCATCAGCTAAATGACATGAGAGCCATGCAGATAAGGGAAGTCACTGCCTTAGAGACCTTAACGGTACAGACAGACAAGACAGAGAAGGCAGGAAAATACAGCCTCTGTTTTTCCATATTTCTCTAGCTGATGAAATTAATGCTGAATCTGCTTAGATCAATCTGACCTAGGTAACAAAGGCTGTCAATAGCAGTGCTAGCAAGTAAAATTCAGGTTGTCCAAATTCCATTGTGGCACCTTGATCCAGTTTGGTGTACACATAATGAGTTCATGCACTTGGGACACAACCTACAATGGACTCATGGTACAGCTGTGTCCCTTCTCTGCATTGGGAAACATGCTGGGCTGAAAAGCAGGAGCACTTCAAGCCACCAGTTGTCTTTGGGAACCTTTCTGCCTGTTACATAGTGCCTGTGGGAGTCCTGCTGCTGTGGTATTCCCAGGTGGATGGCTGCCATACCTAACCGCTTTCAATAGCACTGAAGCCATAGCAGCCTTATGGAGGGGAGCTGTGTCCCAAGAGCTCTTATTCCTAAAGTGCTTAGTGCTCTGGGTGCAGAGAGGGTGTTGTGTAGCTATGGAGCCTAGGAGGGAAAGAATTAACGCTGTATTTAGGACCAGAAAGACTGAAAGCAAAATAAAGCTGTGTTACTTCTATGGCATTAGAGACAAGAATGAGCTTTGGGGTGAGACTTGGAGCACTGGCTTTTGAGGGGTTTGTGGTCCTTCAGCTCTACCCCTTCTCATGGGTCTGAGGTGGATGGTGACAATATTTCCTGCCAGAGTACAGTAATGGGTCTGGTTGTGCCTACCTGGAAAAGAGAACTTAAATTTGTCACTCTTTGAGCTAAACTTTTCATATTTCTTAGTTAATATTCACTCTACATCTGGTTTAGCTTTTAAACTTGGAAATTCAAAATATCTAAATGCTTGAAGGCACACTGATTTCAATTCAGGTGTGCGTATATAAAAAATGTGTTGACTTCTGGACTAAGCTAGTTTATTCCAGGCAATGGAATGACTTAGGATGTAGATTCCTGTAGTTCATAGTGAAATTAATCCTGTACAACATGAAAATGGCCTAAGAAAATGATTGCAGGACTCAGGGCAAATTTTGAAACTGTTAATTTGATCTTTTGACGGAGCATAGACTAAAAATGTAGCTTATTTTCTTAAGTTGTCAAATATACACTCCACTGCTACTGCTATTTTTTGAATGGCATTTGGCATAGTGAATTTCAGGACTTTTTTTCCTGCTGTTACATGAGTACCAGCAGAAATTGTCATGAATAAAAATGAAATCTGAAACAGTATTTTTCTTAACTTTGCATGTGTTATCTTCAAGGGCAATATTTGCCCTCTACAAGCATAAGTCTTGAGATTTCTGAGGCTTTTCTGATCTTGAACTCAGCAGATGGGGCATTCTCTATAGAGACCGAAGACAAACATTTCACCTAGGACTTTTCTGCACAGTGTTTCATTTGTTAGGTTTTGAAAACTTGTTGAGATTGAATGGAATAAAATATCTTTGATGATGACTTTTTGTACAGTTGAGAAGATGGGGCCTCAGGACTGTATTGGTTGACTCATTTTCATTTAAAATACACAGTTTTGCCAGCTGGAAACTGCCAGCCCTTTTACACATATATGAGTTCAGGGATTTTGTGCTATGCATTGTTGAGTTTGGTGCAGCAGCATTTCTTCTTGAAACGTTTTCATAGTCACAGGACTTAACAGCCTTATATAGCCCTATTCACCTCAGAGATTTTATTGTTAAAAGTTTAAAAAGTGCTCCCCAGCCAATGTTTCTTTGAGTTTAGAAATGTTCAAGTTTGGACTGTGCACTTTAGATTGCTTCATACTGCCTTCATTTAAAATTTTGATGACCTGTAGAATCATTGGAACAACTCCTAAGGATATTGTAGATGCTCTCATCACCTGGGGGTCTGTTTTAATCACTGCCAGATTTTTCAAAAATACATGTTGTAACCCAAAGAGAAATCATAGGTCTCATAAACTTGGTAGATCAGATTCTACAACCTGTGTTATGAAAGGGTTTGAGCCAGCTGGTTGTCACAGCATGTGTCTCAGTGTCTTAAAAAAGACACAAATCTGTGAGTTGACCCAGATTTTCTTTCCGTGAATTTCCTGTGCAATAGAAAGCCTGTAGTGTTTACTGTTGCCAGAGTACCAGAAATCTGAATTGTGTTAGGCAGTGAGAAGCATAAAAGTAGTTCTGCTCCAGTAGGTCCTTTTTAAAGTATTACCAGACTCCTCTAAACAGATGACAGGGGAATAACTTTTGCCATTCCAATATGCAGCAGAATAACTGAACTTGGCTGTTGCAAAACAGAGATTCATCTGCATGAGTAAGTTTTAAAACTGATGGGCTGCCTCTAATACTTCCAGACTTTATTATCATGCTAAATTCAAAGTGGCTTTTGCCTGTGTGACTGCAGAGAGCAGTGTTTCCAGCATAACTGAATGGCTTGTGGTATGAATGATTAAGGTGATAAAGGCAAAGAGAGCTGGTCTGGGACTAGACTAGCTGTGAGCTACTGTGGTGTAGTCTGCAGTAGATTTCTGGGCTAGAATTTCCCTACTGGATCTCTGTTTGTTAATCCCTAAGCCTTTTAATTAGGTCTTGTATGAAAAGGA